GGTGTAGCACTGTGAACTACTTTCTTAAATCTGTTTTTCTGTTGTGACGTCCCATTAACAGTTTATGCTATAGAGAGGTTTAATTTTTTTTTCCTGAATATACAGGTATGTTACAGAAAAATTGGAATTCGTGAGCTATAATCTCTCGTTGTGTAGATATTGCCCTCTTTCTTCTGTCCTGCCTGAGAGCTCAGCACTGTTTATGTTGTTGTCGTTCACATTAATAAAAAATAAGCCTATAATATTATAATGTCCTCCATATGTGTTCTTTTCAGTGATGATTGGATACTAAAAATTTGTCCACAGAAATACTTGGAAGTTAGACTGTTTTCTTTTAGCACTTTCCAGGTGCTCTAGTGTTTTGTGTTACTGCTCAATCCTTACACAGGCTTTTTAATTTATACATTGTATCTTGCAATTCTTTCTTTCAGAAGGTAAGTCTGTAAAAGGTTCAAAAAGAAGTAGCAATAAATCACAGATAGGTTTTTTTTCTGCTTCACTTGGGACTGTTCTGACCATTATTCCTTGATCTCTAGGTGTTTGATCAATATCTTAATTTTATTACTTTAGAAGATGACATGTTCGTATTGTGTAACCAAAACAAAGAACTTGTTTCATATCGTGGTAAGTAAAATTTGTATAAAAAATTACACTGGAATGTCTAAAGTTGAAATTTACTTTTGAAGTTGTAGCTAATACCAAGCAATGATTTTATTTTGCTTTGATCTGCTCAGAATTCAGGGTAGTCTTTTAGATGTGTAGTTTAAAGTCATGAAGGAAGCAGTTCTTAGCTATTAATTTCAGCATCTTTACTACATGGCTATTGTAATATTGAAAAATAATTATGTATTTTTAAATAACAAATTTAGTAAAGCAAAACTGCAGTATAGACATACATGGGTAGTAGGGCTTTTTATATATGGAATAATGTAGGAAAAATTTCATATTGTTTACACATGTAGATAGACACTGTGGGTGGCTGCTGTGTTTAGGCACCACTATTTAGTCATAATCCCTTCTGCAGTTCTTAAGGAATTAAGTATTTTGTTTCTCTGTGAGTGGTCAGTTGGAAAGTTACTGTAAGGACTGCAAAGCAAGAAAGATTACTTTAACTGATAGAGTTTCTTGGATCTTCTATACAGTGACCAGTCAGTAGCCGCTTTTCTTACTCAAGACATGAAAACGTGGGGGTGTGCGAGGGGAGATAGTTAGGATCAGGGGCTGGAGTAGCACAGGGAAGAATCTGGGAAAGGGCATTCTAGAATATAAGAAATGCTGATTGCTTCTGTAAGCATGTGAGCCAGACATGTCAGCTTCTTCGTAATGTCTCAGAGTTGCAAGTGAAGTCGGCCTAATGGTACTCTTCTTTTCTTTTCTTGGGACTTCTGTTGGACCTGGTTTGGAATCTAGCAGGGAAACCAAGTGGCTGCCTTAGGTCAGTTACCTCTACAGCTGTGGTGCTATGGCAGCTTGTCAACATATATACTAGTTGTCATAATTGTCCACATGGTTTTCCTCCCTCCTTTGATCTGATTTTTGTGCTCCCCTGACCCATTCCATATGCTAAATCAACGGAGAACTATCACTACCTCTCCTGCGCCTCTTACTCAAATGGCTCGCTATTACAGGGTGGGTTGTTTTGCTGCTCTTGCTGTAGTTTCCCTCATCATCTCCTACTTTTACATCAGAACAAGTAATCTCGGAGTTGCAGAGTTGTTTGTTCAGTTGACTCATCCCATAGAAATACCAGCTCATTTGCGTGACTTACAAATCCAATGCAAGGGAAGCAGCAGAAGTGTGTAAGTCAGAGGCAAGATAGCTCTTTTTTAGCAGCCTCTCCTGATGACTTTAGTGTAGTCACAGTGTCTGCACACAGCATCACACAGTTAATTCCTGATTTATTTGGATGCACAGAATACTCACTAGTAGTGACCAGGCAGAGTTAAGAAGTCTCTGTATGCCTAATATTTGGCAGTGAGATTTTTCTCCTCTCTTGCCCAATTTCCAAAGTCAGTACTTTTCTTTAAAACTGGATCCATAATACTGAGTTCTGTCTCACACTGGGAATTGATTCCATTGTCTGAAAGGCATTTTTGTTTGAAAGGCAGACTTTTTTTTTTTACTAAAACCTGCTGTTAAGAGTTTTAGTAATAATTGGTTTGTGATGTGTTTGTGTGTATGTAAAGATACTTGACCGGCTGTCCTAAGATTCCTGCTAGCTAACAAGGAGTTTTGATTAAAATGACTGAAAATGTTTTGCATGCATGAGTTTCTATGTGGTTTGTTTTCCTCTCTTGGGCCGCTGAAATTTGCCACACAACACGTGGTTTCACACTATGTTTAAACCAATCTAGAAGTGGGCTGTTTCCAAAAGCTGACTGAACAGAAATCTGATCTCCCGTAGAGAGTGATTAGTTTTCCATTAGAGCACTGAGCCGATCCATCTCGCTGTATGAGTTCTAGGTCTGACCCAGGCAGGCAGTGGGAGTGCAGGGGCAAAGAAGAAATAGTCTTTTTTTGCCGTTGGAGAGTAACCTTAGCAGGAAACTGCCAGTTTGTGTATAGTTTCATAATCTACATAAGTCAACGTAAATCTGACGGTGATGAAAGACGGCTGCTGTTCTTGCAGCAGCACTGCCATGTGTGGCCACGCATGTAGCTGAATGGGTGAACTAAGAAATATAACAAAAAAGGTGTGTTTTCAGTTTCCTGATTTCCTGGCTGTATGACTGTGTTTACAGAGAGGTAATGTCAGGACAAATAAGCATAATAACATTCTTCAGTTTTGTAAAAGGGTTTCACAGACAGAAAGGAGATAAAGCATTCCCTCTGTCCATGTAGTAATGGACAAGAAGTGATGAGCTTAAATTGCAACAAGAAAGTTTCTGGTCAGATATTAGGAGCACTTTCTAACATTAAAGATAGTGAAATATTAGAATAGATTACCTATAAACATTATAGCATTTTCATGACTGGGAGGCTTTGGGAATTGGTTTAGACACAGAAATAACATAGGTTTAACTCATCTTTGGGCAAGAGGACTGACTAGATAATCCCTCAGGCTCCCTTTGGTTCTGTTTTTCTATGACTGTGTAGAAGGAAGAGTAAATGGGTAATATTGGCATAAAGTCAATGTTCCTGGCATCCTGTTTGATGCTATTTGAATGCTTCTTTACGAAATTTGGATCAATTTTGTAAAAGAAGAAGAAAATGTAGGAGACCTAAGCTTACTTTTCTCTAATAGATGGATCCCCAATAAGCTTGTTACAGTGGAGAGAGAGGAATATATAGAAAACATGATAGAACATTTTACTGAGAGATTATTAATGGAGTTTCTCAAAGGTTGACCTAAGGAGCAGTAATACTGAATATTTGTGTTGATTGCTATGGTACAAAAAAAGGAATGTGCTCATAAAATGTGCATGTTACATGAAATTAGAAGTCACTAACAGTATGCAGATTACTGGCACATTATAAATGAGTACCTTAAGCATAATAATAGGGAGGGAATTAAATTTTAAAATTGAGAAAGGCAAGGGAGTAAAAATAAGATTATTTCCCCCCTGTAAACTGGCAGACCATTAGTTGGAGATGTCTACAGAATGATAGCCCCAGTTAATTTCAAAGCTTTGTTGTTACACAAAAATACAGATATTGGGAACACTCTGCCTTTCTTGGTGCTGATATTTCAGAAACTTGAACTCAGAATAAAAAAAATGCTGAGGAGGGCAATTCTATTGCTGCTGTCATCTTAGCAGCCTAGTAAAAAGTTTGACGTACTAAGTATAGCTGCTGATAGAAATTGCTAATATAATCTATCTCTCTAAAGGTCTTAGAGGACAAAGGCTGGGGCAAAAAAGCACCTTTAAAGTTAGAGAATGATTATGGCTGGCCATGCATAAATTTGGGATGGAAGGCTTATTAATGTTCAGAGCTTTGAAGTTTGTTTTTGAAGAGAGTATAAGACAGGTAATTATGTGAGAAATTTTTAAAGGTAAAATAAAACAAAGGAGGATGGGATTTATGGCATGAGTCCTGAGGTAGTGCTTGACTTGAGACCTGTGATAAGATTAGGTTTGATGTTTCCTGTTGGCTATTATATTCTTGTCAGTGTTAATCATTTAATAGAAACGTTGCTACGTGTCTCTTGTTCTGACCTAAATATGTGAGGGAAAGCTTTCTATCTGTAGTGTGAAATGTTTTAGAACTTAGGAATTACGCCTAACCTAGAGACTGACAGTAAATTTATTAAAAAAAAAAAAGGAATCTCCGTTACAAGAGGTGGTATTTAGAATCTTTAAATATAGATAATTGCATACTGTTATTCTCTTTAAATTATACAAGTACTTCTTGAGGATTTTGTATCTGAAAAATGGTTTCCAAGTGGATGGCCATTTCTGTTCTGTAACGTGGTTTTCTAGGAGGTTTTTAATAATGCAGTACTAACACAATGCAGAAGTCACAGTATGCATTGTCAGAGATAATTGGAAAAGATTGTGTAGTGTTTGACCTTACGAAGTGAGCAGTAATTAAGTTCTCACAATTTTTTTCTCAAAGAAGAAGGAAAAAAAAAGGGGAAAAAACTAATGGATGTGCTAAGAGGGGCATTTCATGATTTGATCTCTTCAGCAAGTGTTGGCTATTAACAGCTGTTGTGTAAGAAGAGGATCGCTTTTTCAGTATCAAAGTGGCATAAACTTCTTTAACCCTGTTCTTAACTCTTTTCCACACTGTTTTAGCCATTAACCGACCAGATATAACGGACACAGAAATGGAAACTATAATGGACACTATTGTTGATAGTCTCTTCTGTTTTTTTGTTACACTTGGTAAGTATTCAAATTCTAGCATGTTTCCCATATGTTTTCCTTTTAGAAAAGATCCGTATTCAGTGAGAAACCTAGATGTTCAGTGATTTCATAGAGCAAATCAAAGGCAGAATGAGATCTGTGACAGAAATCTTAATAGTTTGCAGGGTGGGTTAATGATCTTGCTCAAATTATTGCTGTACATCACTGCAAAAGGCAATAAAGGCCATCCTGCGTGGGAGCTGAGTCTTAGTCTTCACTATCAATGGGAGGAGAACACTGAAATGCAAAGGTTTGGATTCAGTGTTTTTACAAAGTCCTGGTTTGCAATGAAGATCAATAGTGCTTTGAATTTGGATTTGTAGGTCTCAAAAAAAAAAAAAAACCACAGAAAAAGGAGAAAAAAAAACCCTCGCACAAACCCTGTGAAGATCTAACTGAAATAATTCGAGGAATAGGAAGATACGTTGAATTTACTTATTTTATTGTGAGTTTTCTCGATGCTTAGGTCATATATTTTTCATAGTGATGACATTTAATCTAAGTTCTCACTGAAATCAGTCAGTCTGAGGTAGATTCCTACAAGGGGAGCTGGGGATCACTGTGGGACAGTGTTGAAGAGAGATTCCCTTGGACCTATTGAGTTCTTTGAAGCGTTAGCATAATACAAATTAGATCTCTTTTACTCAGTCACTTAAACTCTACTACATTGGAATTTTCATATTTAGATAGATAAATGAGAAGCAGTAGCTAAAGATTTTGAAACCTGAAAGCCAATGGAAAATGTGCTTTTGAAAATAACGTTACCCTGCAGTGAGTTGTAACTGATATATTGTGGTGGTGGTGCTGTATAGTACTTATTATTACTGTTTTCAAGGGACTTCAAACCTTTTGGAACTAAGTTGTAGTGCTTCTATATGAGATAGTTTGTCCTCTCCACAGTACATTAGCTATCTTTCTAGTGTACACTATACTTCTCATAAATTCCTATATGAGGTATTTGCTTACTTTTGTAAAACTTTATTTAATATTTCTATATACTATTTTTTATTTCATAGATAAAGACTGCAGGAGACAAATTTAATATGTTTGTATTGTCCACTTCAAAAATTTCACCTCAGAATGTTACTAAAAATTTGTTTTATGAAAAGTACACTAACTTATAATCTGAAAATTATAATGCAAGTAGAAGTCAATATATCTTTTATTAGGAGCTATTCCTATAATCAGATGCTCAAGAGGAACTGCAGCTGAAATGGTGGCAGTGGTAAGAAACTATTTTCTAAACAAGTATCATTGTTTTAAAACTTTCTTAACAGCTTGTTTACATTTCTCAATACTAAGCAGAGATCTAGTGTCATTGTATGCTTTTCCTCATGAAGGAAATAAAACTGGAAAGGAGATATAGCAGTTTTCCTTTCTGATTTCAGTTCCCTGGAACTCATCTGTAGAAATTGTAATACTATGGAATCAGCTGATGAGAAACTTAACCATGAATACATTCCTAATGTAGAGTTTATCAAGATTTTCCGACAGGCATTATAATTACATCCATTAAGCTGTATCTACACAGTTTAAAAAGTGGCTGGCTGGCCTGGGGTTTTCTGTGTGTCTTAGAAATTTTTAATCTCTCTTACTGGGAAACCCTGTAAGTACAAGACATTTTTACTATATCACTAAATTGACGTTGAACTTGGTCATCAAGTAGGGATGAAATTACCAAAGTAAATCACAATTTAAAATCTCTGCAGCACTGTCTTCATCTTCAGTGGGAGTCACTGTGCTTCATTTCTTCTATCTTCCTCACATCTTTCTTTGTCAGTGAAGCCTTAATACTGATTAAACCTAAGCATTCAGTGTGCATGCATTCATAGAGGGTAGTCGCATTTTTACGAAATACTTAGTGTGTGGCAGTATCTGACAGCCCAATTTTCTGCTTCTGCTGTGGCTCCATCTTGGTGCCTCCTAGTGGTATTTTCTATTCGCATGTTTAGGGAGAGGGTACTGATTGCCTGGGTGGAGATTAGTGGACATAAAGGGCACATCTTCTGTGTAGTCCTGGATATATATATAAATGCTGGAGGAAGACAGTAGAAGGAGGAGATTTCTTTCTTTCCTGTGTGCAGTGGACCTAGACTTCCTGCAGCTAAGACATTTATAAACTACAAAAACAGCACAATAAATCTTTAAATGTTGATCATATAAAAAGGTTAGGAAACCATTGGTTTGTTAAAAGCTGTTTTGGTTTTTTTCCCCTTCAGAAGTTAGATAAGAAGCTGAGAGAGAATCTGAGAGATGCCAGAAACAGTCTTTTTACAGGTGACACACTTGGAGCTGGCCAGTTCAGGTATGGTTAGTAATAACTATGTATTTTTATTTTTCGTATTTCAGTTGTCTGAAATATCTCATTACAATAAGTCACCACTGTACTGAAAACTGTATTTACAAGAATTTGGTTCAAATTCTGTATTAAAAGAATTTATATACTCTTAAGGGAGTTTCCAAATCTCTTAGCATAACTGGTTGGAAAACTTCGATAGCTAGTAAGTGTGCAGGCCCAGGACAGTGAGACAAAATTACTTAATGAACCACGTAATTTTGTTCAACCTCTAAACCCAGCAAGAACCAAGTTACTGCAAATACACCCAGTTTACAGGACCACGATAAACAGCTGGATGTCTGAACATATCTGTTAGTAGCCTTTAGTCCATTAAAAAGAAAGAAATACCCATTTGCTCACTGGTGAGCATTGTTACCAGTTGTAGTTATGTCAAAAGCAAGTGTTTCTCAGCTGATCCCTATATCTACCAGAGGAAGACCGCTTAAGGACTACCACTTGGGTAATTAGATAGTTAAGGACTGTTAAGTCATGACCATTTGAATCCTTTGAGGGGAAAAAGGGTTGAGAAAAGAAATTGTGGATGCTTGCCTCCCATGTGTACCGTTGCACCCAGGTAGTTAAATACTCCACAGGCTGCCTTAGGAAGGCATATTACAGGAGTTTACACTGTACATGAAAAGGTGAGGAGATCTATTGGGAAGACTGGAGCTGAAGGAAACAGTTATGATCTCCTAACTGGATATAAAATAGTCATCATATTTTTATCTCAAATTAAGAGCCGAACTTGGATGAAAGACACAAAAACCATCAAGGGTAACAAAATGGAATGAGATTGAAAGGTATGAGGAGAGAGAATAGCTGTGAAATACCAGTTCCCTCATTTTCATGAGAACTGAATTGTAACGACTGTTTTTCCTTCAGAAGGGTGGTTTGTTTTCCTGATAGTATAGCATCATTACCCTCAGAAAATCAAAATGCAAGGACAGGAAAACATGGGAACCTTTAACCAGTTAAATGGCTTCTGATCCTTAGTTTGGTTTTCAGAACCAGGTGACTAAGGCTCTTGAGATTATATATCTGCGTGAAAATACTTACTGCAAGGAAATCCAGAGCATGGAATTCACATGCTTTTACTCTGTTAAAATACACTGTAATTTAGCCATCCCGTTTACTGTAGGGTTAATGTGCTTAAGGGAAATAGTTGCAATAATGTTCTGTCAATTCACAGCCTTCCTATTTTCACTATAAATTTTTCATGTAGCCATAACCCAAGCCATTTAGGCATGTCTGCAATCTTTTCCACAAAATTGAGTATTGATGGAATTACCACAGTGCATCTCAGAAGTTCCTAATTTTTTTCTTTATGGACTTCATACACAAGCAAAGAGAAAAATGAAATTAAAAACCCTTGAGAGAGAGATTTTATATTTGAGGTTTATAATGGGGATTAAAGTCAAATATTGCCTACTTGAACATTTGTTTGGAACTCCAATGTGTATCTACACAAAGAGGTATTAGTCAATACCTAAAAGGCCAGTTGCTTCTTGCAGTGACTTCTGCTCAATATTTATGCATTGCTAATTTGACTTCGTGCAAAATAAAATAATCTTTTTATCATTACTAAGACAGTGATTCATGGAATTTCTGGCAGTGATCAGCCCCAGATGCTTTGGGGACGGCTGGAGGAACTCTGCAGTAGGCAGTTTGGCTTTTAACTTGAAATATGACGTAGAAGGTGGCTGATATCACTCAGGATGTTACTGGGGTGTTCTAAACATGTTTAAAGAGGTACTAATACAGTGTCATCTTTTCAGCTTCCAAAGGCCCCTATTAGTCCTTGTTGACAGAAACATAGATTTAGCAACTCCTCTACATCATACTTGGACATACCAAGCTTTAGTGCATGATGTTCTGGTAAGAATAAATCTGATTTTGTTACCAAAACTTTCTTTTCACTCAGTTTGTTATTAAACTTAATACCAGATTCTCTCTTAATCCAAAATCTATTTTGTCTGTTTTATTTGGAAGTTGTTTAGTAAAAAACAACTCGGAAGATTTTCTCTAGAAGGTTTATTTAGCAGTAACTTCTAAAATGGTTAAAAAGTTGAAATCTTGGTGTTATCAAAAGATAGGTAATTCAGCAATCCTAGCCTTTTCTTCAGTAGTTCATGATCTTTTATGTTATGTGGACTCCAAACTCCATTAAGCACAATTCAGTTTTGAAAAATAAATGCTTTTAATGACTTTTTAAACCAATTTTAGTATTAGTTTGAATTTCTAAAAATACCTATTTCTGTTTTTCTCCACAAGGTGGTGTAGGTGTTCAATATAGAGATACCAAGTGGTCTATGACCCTCCTGTGAGGAATCTAAAATAGATTTTTTTAATAATTTTTTGGAAATTCAGATAGCCTTAAAGCACTTTTATTTCCTCAAGTTTATTTTATAAAACCAGTAGTAGAAATGTACTTGAATGAAAACAAATACTATTTACCTAAAATTTACGCATTTTCTATATAGTTATGGAGTAAATAATAAAGATAATATGAGTAAGAATAATTACTATCTGGAGGCTTTTTTATACTGTAGAGTTAGTCATGCAAATCATTTCAATATCTAGCCTTGAGAAATATTTTGAGAAGTATTATTGAGACTGTTAGAGGAATATGTAAAATATGCAGATGCACATATGTGTTTGTATACAAAGTTGGTTATGAACTGTATAGTCATACATACAGTGTTGTCCAGAAACTTGCATTGCTACGATGAAAATATTTTAGCACTAATGGATGTTGTAGGACACTTTTAAATTCTGTTTTATGTAATTCATTACTTAAGAAAAGTCCCTTCATCTTAAACTTAAGGGTGCTTTTTACAAATGAACAATTTTTAACCTGGTTTCTTTCAGAAAGGCATATATGAAAAAAACAAGGTTTGCACTGTGTTTTCTCCAATAACTGTTGAACTGGCTAGAAACTTGCAAATAGAAGTACTGAATTTCTACAGGTTTCTTTTGAAGATCAGTGAAAGAGTAGGGGATGGAAACCCAAATTAGAATTTTTACAGGTGTAAATGCTATTGCACAAGGTCTACACTTACTTTGGTTTGTTACCTGCCTACCATTTAATCACCAAATGCTCACTTACTAGATAGTAAATCCATGCAGAGCTCCATGTACTTGCCTTGTACTCAGCTGCTAGGTAGAGAAGGCAGTGTCAGGTGGCCTCAGGCATGTGTTGGGGTAGGACTTCGGTGCATTAAGGTGCAGAGGGATCAAAGATGTAGTGGAACCTGAGGGCAACTAGTGCTACAAATACGGAGGGGTATTAGAATAACACTAGAAGAATGATTTGAGGATCGTTGAATATTTATCTGTACTGCATCAGGCGTCAGTTTCTCCAGAACAACTTCTTAGATGTTGCATGTTGCATCTAATTTTTGACTGAGTTGATAGGATTGTGAATTTGGCTAGTGAAATTGTAACCAAGTAGCCTGTGATTCCATGTCATGGGCAAAAGTTTAATTTCAAAACCAGTCAAGTTATTCACCTTAAAGGCAAGCATGCCAGGTTCTTCATGTACTGAGCGTAGTATTTCATGAAATAACCGCAGTAGCCTTTTAAAAGGCCATAAATTGTAACTGTGAAAGCGTTACCAAGGTGATGATTATGTAAATTGTACTTTCAAATAAATTGTTTTTCATTTAAGCTCTCAGTTACAATAGTCCAGGAATTCTGTGGGGTGTTGAACTAAATGCTAACCCAGCCACAAAAGTTGTGTGCTGCATCCATTTAGATTATAATGGTGGTGTTTCTACACGTAAACAGGCTTGTATGAAGAGATTCCCTTTTCTGAATAGAAAACCTTTCAGGAGTGGATACAGAAAAATGGGAGGCATGGATAGAAAGCCTTATAGACAAAATGGGGAGGTGAAAGGACACTTAGAACACTAATCAATAAGAATCATTTCGGTAAAACTCCTTGTAAATGCCAAAACTAACTTGGAAACTCAGGTCACCGGTGAGTTAAATTGAGCCAAAACATACATCTCCATTAAAAATTACATCTGAGTTTGTAATGAGTTTGTAATTTTGTTTTCCTTTAAGTTTTTATTGACCATATGTACTTGAAAGAGACTCTGGTTTTGCTGAAACATTAAACACGTGTTGTAAGATGATGTTTGTGCTCATTGACTGCACGTGCTTCCTTTGAGTAGCTACTTGATTTTGTTTCTATTCTGGCATGGATCATGTATAGTATTTCATTTTAAGTGTGAACTCTGCCAAAGGATAACTAGAAACATTTTAAAATTTTATTTGAGTATGTCACTTACAGTGATCTAGCTCTGTAGATCACTGGAAAGTGGAGCTTTATTTCTGGAAAAAATACCTATTCTAAAAGATTCATGGCAGATTCTGTATAGTTGAAGATCTGACTCTCATTATTTGCCAAGCAAAGTGCACCTTTGAAATTTTAAATGTTCTTGAAATAAAGTCAGCAAGTGGAATACTTGTTAATCTTTGTTGAAAACCAGAGGGAATATGCTGCAGAAAATACAGAGCTGTCCTTGGCAAAAGTAATGGGGGAAAGAACCAGAAGACATACAGGGAGCAGTGTGCTGACACATTATGTGAGCATAACTGTGTCATCTAGCAAAAAGATTGAGTTTCTAGGTTCATGCATCTGTGGAAGAAGAAAAGCTATATGGAGAAATAGCAGCTTTGTTCTTACATTGCTGCTGTTGTTATCTAGTTAGTTAATAAGCTATTTCTTGCCCTCTTATGAAATTCTAATAAATAGCTGTGTTTATTTTTTTAGAAGATACTCTGGAATATAATTGGTTTAGTATAAAAGACTGATTAAATAATTAAAAACTGTCAAATATTTGCATAAGATCCTCTTTTTTCAGGATTTCCATCTGAATAGAGTTAACCTGGAAGAATCAACGGGAATGGAAAGTTCTCCAGCAGGTGCTAGACCTAAGAAAAAAAATAAGAAGTCCTATGATTTAACTGCATCTGATAAATTCTGGCAGAAGCATAAGGGCAGGTAAGCTGTATAGGTACAGAGTTCATATTGATTTAGTCAATACAAATTCTAGATATTCTTCATATTATGGTAGTTCTATTTTTAAGCTGCTTTGAAAATATTTTCGAAGATCGCTTTTTTTTTAAGGAATTATCATTGTCAATATTCATTGTCCATATTAATTGCATATTAGCTTATTGTTACAGAGCACAAAATTGTTCTTATCAAAATTATCTAAAAATATTGAAAGCAGTGAATATATCTTAGAGAGTTTAAGTAGACCTCCTGTAAGATGTCATTATTTTCACTGGTTTGATACTGCTGCATGGTTTGTGTATTGATATTTCTGAAAATGTTTTCATGATCATCTTGATCACGCAACCTGTCTGGTTCTAGTGTTTCAATTGGTTGATTTAAATGAGCCTAATGCAGGTATTGCATTAGTCCTTTTCCAGAGGTAGCTGAGTCTGTTCAGCAAGAACTGGAATCCTACAGAGCCCAAGAAGATGAAGTCAAAAGACTTAAAAGTATCATGGTAAGTTTTGTTACCTATATGTGCTTTTTGTAAAGCATAATTAGGCACTTAACGCCTTCTTTGCCTCTGTGTTTAACAGCCAGACTGGTCATCCCCAGGGTACTCAGGCCCCTGAGCTAGAGGATAGGGATGGGGACTAGACTGGAGCCCTCATAGTCCAGGAGGAAGCAGTTAATGACCTGCTATGCCACCTGGATGCTCACAAGTCTATGGGGCCAGAT